GGTGGCTGTCATTGCCTTGTGCATTATGGAATTCCCAAAATGTGTACAATTTATCGTGTCTACTCTCTAGCCCACTGGCTAAGGACACATATATAAATGGCTGTTTTTTTATTATATATATATTTTTAATTTTATTAAATATAAACAAAAACAAACAGCCATTTATATATGTGTTTATATATGGCCATTTATATATAGCCATCTCTATTTTACACTGTTCTTGAGGTACATCTTGAGTTACTGTTGTTTTGTAACTATTCTCATCATGCCGGCTTCTTATTAAAATCAATTCTTGCTTCACATTCAACATGATCTTTGGATAATCTTCGAACACTCCAAGCAACTTCGCTAATGGTATTATCACATTAAACTCACCTTCGGGCGATATTAAGTTTGTAATCTCATCATTTGGATAGCACCATCCTTGATATGTCAAGGTATTGAATTGCCCTCTTCTAAGAGAAACGAGATTTTTTAAAGTAGACGTAATTCCGGGGTTTTTCACGCGATCAACTTCTACTCCGCTCAACTCATATCGGATCTCATCGAAAAGGTAAGCGATCGCATTGTTTGTCAATTTCGATAATATCGGAATCGTTATTCCGTCTTGTTGGATGAACTTCCCTTCGACGTAGAGCAGACTGTGGCTGGGTAATGTGTACAAATCTTGGTGTTGCAAACTGATACGAATCTCATCACCAGATGAAAGTTTTGACGAGGCGTAGGGGTGATGAGTGTGAAGTTCTATGCATTCGATTGAATTTCTAATCGCGGGACTGCCCTCTAAGTTTAATATGTCTTCCATGTCGATGATAGAACGTAGTATCCTAGTGATTGAAGAAATATAATATTACTCGCACTCAATGATACACACTCTTCAACAATCTTCACTGGAATGATGCTTCTGTCCGCGGATACGCCTTTATATACCTTTCTGAAGTCTAAACCCATGGTTTCTTCAGATCAGAAAATTTCTATATGAGATCCAGCAAATATAGGAGGCACAGCTGACCGCAATTGTTAGTTCTCGTTTCTTGATACAGTTTATCGTTTGCAGAGATTCGGCAATTTTTCATATAACGCACGAACTCAGATGGAGGTTTAGCTCCACTACTGTCAAAGTAGTAAACTAATTGTCCAATTTTCTTATAGCAGACCCAATGAGTACCTTTGCCGTAACTGTTGTCCAAATTGAAAATTGCACGTTCGTTTTTCCACGGTTTGTTGGGAAATTCGTCTCTCATAAACACACCTCTAAATGTGCGCACTTTATGCACTTTCGCCAGCAGTATTAGATCGAAATTACTCAATCTGGTTTTAGGTATAATCCGCTGATATCGTTTTGCTTCGTTGCACAATTTAATCGCACTACCTCCAATCTGTTTTGGCGTTTCGATAACCCGAAGCTTCTTTTTCTTCTTTTTGTTGTTGTCAGCACAACGTCTCATGACTAAATGAGCATCATAGCGATAATTGCTTCTTATATATTTACATCGATGGCCTTCTCCCAGCTGTTGTGTGAACTATCGAAACCAAGCCACTTAACCAACATCTTATTGCCTTTCCTTTTGATCACCTTCTCGACAAGATAGCAGTCAGAATATTTGACCAATTGAAGCTCTTCTTGATAGAAACCTCCTGCGATAGTTTCGCCTCTGTCATCCTTCAAGTGATAAGTTACTGGTACAGTGTGTTTAACCCGCTCTATCGTAAATATTTCCGACGTCCAAGACGGTTGATAGCCTTTTGCGAACTGAGCCTTATACTTTGGGATTCTCACTCGATCTCCAGCTTTGTATCTGTATCTGGCAGCTTTCATGCCAGATTTCTTTTTACCATATACTTCGAGTAAAATTCGTTTTTCGATTTTCCTTCCGCGCACATCTATCGGCTTCATTTTTATCGTACTATGTTTTCTATTATTGTATTCGCTAATAAGAGAATCCAAAATTGCTAGCCACTTGTAATTACCTTGTAAGCTGAACTTTTTCCACATCTCGAACTTTAATGTACGATTGAATCTTTCCACTATCGAAGCCTTCAGATTGCTGAATGTAGAGTAATGGTTGATCTCACCATTGGCTTTCAAAAGTTTTTTAAACTCCTTGTTGTAGAACTCCTTGCCGTTGTCTGTCTGAAGATTATGAGGTTTTCTTTCTTTCAATATCTTTTGAAATGCCAGACTTATTTCGAGCGCTGTCTTATTCTTGACCGGTACAGCCCAAGCGTATTTCGAGAAGCAGTCGATCACGGAAAGAAGGTATTTGTAATCATTATTTATTCGCGAATAAGGAATCAATTCCGCCAAGTCTGCCTGCCATAAATCATCTATACCTTTAAGTAGGACACTTCTTCGTTGAAATGATCTTCTAACCGGTTTATGGAGCTCACGCACGATCTGCTCTTTAACAGTCGTCATATTGAACTGAGAGTATGAACTGATATTACTAAGCTATTATACCACCTATCCGGAGTTGCGATTCTATACGATGAATCTCTGCCTGTTTCTTGGCGCTCTTGGGAGATTCAATCAATTCCCTCAATCTGTTAACTAGAATGTTGGGATCATCGATTCCACTTCCCTTTTTCGACGGGAATAGTTTAGAGATCACTTTTTTATATTTCAAATTGTGCTTCAGTTGTCGTATTGAGCCAGTTGGACTGTATTCTATCTTGTGAGCGTTAGTCTGGTTCAATATTTTCTTGTACATTTCGAAGTCATCCTTAGTTGCAAGACCAAGTTTTGGATTTGCCATAAATAATAACTCAAACAGACCAGGCGTGCCGTAGTAGTCAACCTCACCCACGGAAATAATGTCTTTTTGTATTGAAACAACAGTATCTCCAACGGTAAACCTTTGACCGTCGTAGACTATACCGTAAATCGTATCGAGTTCTTTTATATCATTGTTGACTAGTTTTTTAATATAATTCGAAGCTACCTCACCGACTTCTTTCAAACATTGTTCAACCATTTCTTTGCCTTCAGGAGCTTGAGCTTCTTCTCGAAGCATTTGTAAAGAAGATCTCGGTTCCAAGATTGTCACGGTAGGACTAGCCGATTGAGGACTATTTTCATACACTTCCTCTTTTAAGGGACCCGCTGTTGCTCTGAAGTCTTCCGGAGACTCTGGATATAGCCATCTCGATCGGAATATCTCTAATGAAGGAGGTAGTGGAGTTTCCTCAATGCTTCTCCCTGGTTCCTCAATCATAGATTTTGGCGTCATTTCAAATGATTTTTTATCCTTCTTCATATGCGGGGATAAATAATTAGTTTGAGTCTCTATTAAAGGTGTGCTCAGAACGCTTAATCTGTTTACTGCGTCAATAACTGGTTTATATTTTTCTTTTCGAGACTCCTCAATCTCCTCTCTACTTCTCTTCAATAAGTTGCATTTTCGTTGAATTGCATTCCTCATTTCGATAATTTGGCGAGTAACCGCTTCAGAAGATGTTGACGGTTCCATGTCTGCTAGCTGACTGAGAATTAGATAATCGTTTAAGGTATTATATAGATATCAAATCCTTTTCGATATCTTCCGTTTGACATTTCTCTGTCTTTATCTAACACGATAAAGGCGTACTTGTCATCTTTCCAACACCAATGACATATTTTTTTGAATGTTTTCAAATCCATATCAGAGTTGACGTGATCATCATAGATCCTTCTCAAATTAAGTTCGTCTTGTCGGAATAAAATGAGAAGATTTGAATTTTCTCTGATTAGATGTTTTGGAATTCTGGTATAACTCTGACTCAAGTAGAAACTGTCCACACCATTATGCCGTCCCATGCAAAAGTAGGCTCGAACATTGTCTTGTTTATCGCAGGCGATATCATCGAAAATAAATATAGAATTGACTCGAGCTTCCTTCGGTGACGGTACACTTGAGTTGTCTTCGTATTGAAAAAACCCAATTTCCTCTAGAGGTTCTAGTACCCGTGCTAGTTGCCTATACTTTGGCTGATGTAAAGATTTAGCAAATAAGTAAATATCTTCATACCTCAAACCTGCTGGATCGTAGATTAAACTCAACATGAGATTCGTTTTCCCGCAATTTGATGGTCCACATATTAGACATCTGATAGAGTCGGGAAGGAGAGAACCGTGTCTCGATATTTTTACTACGGGACAGCATCTATCTTCGAGATTGGAAATTTGGAGAGTATGGTGTTGCTTTACCAAACGCATGTTGAAGACTGAGCAGAATTTTTATACTTCACTCCCTTTTATACTTATCGTGGTGTTTGAGATTTGTCGACTAATTTTGATTACGAAAAATAACTTTTTGCTTACATAATGTTTTAATATATATCATCTGATCTAGATTTATTTCTATAGATAGTGAAGTTGGTGGCTGGTCCTAACTTAAACTAGTGGTGGGAGAGTAAGTAAGCTATAACATTTAACGGAAAATGAAGTAGTGGGGGTAAGAATAGGAATGAGTTTGATGGTAGGGGTAGCGCATGCGCAAGCAGCCTAAATCTACTATCTTTTAATACTCTCTACCGCCTGACTACCAAAGGATTCACTTTATAACTAGTATTCACTCGGAACAGATCTTCTTCTCAACCACCATGAATTCGTAAGTATATTTATTCCTCTAATTATTATTATTATTATTATTATTTTAAATAAACCTGCTTTACTTTGTTGTTGTTGTTTATTTATTTTTTTTTTTTTTTTAACTCTCCTTTTTTTTTAACAATGTAACTCTCCTTTCTTTATTTTAGTTGTGATAGAGATTTTAAGACTCTCTTCAACCGATTTAACGAGAGCTCTCCGCCTATCAATAAGTTAACTGATATCCAAATCGGGAGACCATACATCATAAGAGAGTTGGAACAGGTCAAAACAAAATTGGGATTAGTATTGGTCGCTACACTAAAAGATTATATGAGCAATATACGAGTGTATCTTCCTAAACGCTTTAAGATGTTAGCTGAAGACATCGAAGCTTTTAACAACAACAAAGATATAATTTCATTAGTCTATAATGGGAGAATTGGTTATAAAGACGATCTTTCATTTATTTGAATGTTTTCGAAGGTATGTAAATCAGTTCCTTATGAATTAGTAAACAGATTTATGTTTTCTTAAGCTGTACACTTACTTTTTTTTTTTTTTTGTTTCTTTCAGTTTTATTTGCAGGCAAGGATTCCCTAAAGAAAACGGTTCTTCCGTTAATTAAAGAAAACTGAAGAAGTGTAGTGCATATTTCATATTTTGTATCAGTATTATGACGAAATAAACTTTTTTTTGTTGTCGTAAAAGTTGTTCTTTTATTTATTTTAATGAAATAATTATACTCCCATATCACTGTTTATATTTTAATGATTAAAGTTTAAAGTCTGAGTTTATATTTTAAGGAAAAGTTTAAATAATAATTTTTTGTTAATTATTTATTTATTACATTATTATTCATCATAAGCTAGACGTGATGGAACATGTTTACAAACCTGTTGATAGGTAGATAAAGGTAAGCATTGTGAGAATATGTTTTTTAGGGATTAATAGATCAAAGTCTATGTTTATAATTAGATAAGAAAGAATTAAAATGTTTATTAACGTTTAAAGGTTTAAAGGTTCAAAGTCCTCGTACTTAAAGAGGATTAAGAGAAAGGAGAATAATAATCATTGCTTATAAACCAAGACATTATGGAACCAGTCTGAAACTTCATCAAACCTGTTTGTTTACAGGTAAATAAAGGTAGGTATTGTGAAGATCAGAGTCCATTGTTTATACTTTCATAGGGATTAAGAAGTCCTAAGAGGTTGTTTATATTTTAAGGATTAAAGGGTTCAAAGTCTATGTTTACGCGTGAAGGAGAACAATAAGAGATAAAAAATTACAGCTCCACAGTATATAAATATTATATTTAGAAAACTAAGATGAGTGCAACTAATCATAAATCTATCAAGGTTTATGTCTGATCTTATATTTCCATGAAATGTTTAATTGATAGATGATTAAAAGTTCAATGTCATTGTTTACATTTGACTTAGACAGGATGGAACAAGTCCGCAACATGATCATACCTGTTAGCATGTAGAGGAAGATGTTTTGAGAACTAAAAGATCAAAGTCCATGTTTATAATTAGGTAAGTAAGAATTAAAAAGTTTGTTTACATGTGTTGGAGAAAGAAGAAGCAATAAGGGATTAAAGTGTCAAAGTCCATTTAAGTAAAGAGGATTAAAGGTCATTGTTTACATATATTCTAGGCAGGATTGGACGTGTCAAACCTTTTTACAGGTGGATAAAGGTTGGCATTGTGACGATATGTTTTACAAGAACAAGACGATCAATATGAAATATGGATTTCATGAAATGATCACTGAAAATTCTATATAAATAATAAATTAGCTAAGGTCACGTGACTGGTCACGTGACATTGATAAGGTAAACATTGAAAAGGTTATATAAAATATAACCACTAGAAAGGTTACAGGAAAAATTACGGTGGCCACGTGACTGATCACGTGACCTTGAAAATGTAAACAATAAGAAGGTTATACTAAAGATAAATATTAGGAAGGCTATATGAAATATAAACATTAGGAAGGTTACAGGAAAAATGACGGTGGCCACGTGACCTTGAAAATGTAAACAATAAGAAGGTTATATAAAAGATCAACATTAAAAAGATTATATAAAATATAAACATTAGGAAGGTTACAGGGGAAAATAGGGGGTATGGTCACGTGACTGATCACGTGACACTGAAAATGTAAAACAATAAGAAGGTTATACAAAAGATAAACATTAGGAAGGTTATAGAAAAAACAAAATGGCGAACAACGCCCTAAGTTTCTCAAATTGCAGCAAACAAAATGGCGGCCGGGCATATTCAGTCTTTTATAGAGGAGTGGGGGGGGATGTGGAGGTCGCTCAACCGAAAACGGTGTGATGACGTCATACTAGAAGAAAATCTCGTATCAGAAAACAAAATGGAAACAACTCCCTAAGTCTCTCAAATTGCAGTAAAATAAAAATGGCTGCCGGGTACACTCAGCCTCCGAGACAGGGGTGAGGAGTAAATGTGGGAGGTACACGACCAAAAAAGGTCTCATGACGTCATACAATAACAAAACCTCGTATCAGAAAACAAGATGGCGGCCGGGCATAATTAGCCTCCGAGGGAAGAGTGGGGGGGGGAGGGATGTGGAGGTCGCACGACCGAAAAGGGTCTGATGACGTCATACAAGAAGAAAACCTCATATCAGAAAACAAGATGCCGGCCGGGTACACTCAGCCTCTTATAGAGGAGTGGGGGGAAAATGTGGAGGTCGTACGACCGACAAGGGTCTCGTGACGTCATACAAGAAGAAAACCTCGTATCAGAAAACAAAATGGCGGCAGGGCACACGCAGCCTCAGAGGGAAGAGTGAGGAGTAAAGGTGGGAGGTACACGATCAAAAAGGGTCCCATGACGTCATACAATAAGAAAACCTCGTATCAGAAAACAAAATGGCGGCCGAGCACACTCAGCCTCCGAGGGAAGAGTGAGGAGTAAAGGTGGGAGGTACACGATCAAAAAGGGTCTCATGACGTCATACAAGAAGAAAACCTCGTATCAGAAAACAAGATGGCGGCCGGGCACACTCAGCCTCTTATAGAGGAGTGGGGGGGGGGGAAATGTGGAGGTCGTACGACCGACAAGGGTCTCGTGACGTCATACAAGAAGAAAACCTCGTATCAGAAAACAAAATGGCGGCCGGGCACACTCAGCCTCCGAGGGAAGAGTGAGGAGTAAAGGTGGGAGGTACACGATCAAAAAGGGTCTCATGACGTCATACAAGAAGAAAACCTCGTATCAGAAAACAAGATGGCGGCCGGGCACACTCAGCCTCCGAGGGAAGAGTGGGGGGAAAATGTAGAGGTCGCACGATCGAAAAGGGCGTGGCTAATGGTCACGTGACTGATCACGTGACTAAAAAGGGGCGTGGCTAGGTGGTTAAGATAGGGATAAAATAAAAGTGGGCGTGGCCTAAGGGTCACGTGACTGACCACGTGGTGGTTAAGGCTGGCCGGAGGCCGACCACGTGGTGGTTAAGGCTGGCCGGACCGCCGACCACGTGGTACTTAAGGCTGGGTGGAGGGGATGGAGCAATCGGTGTGCCAGCTCCCGCAATTCTTATCTACTGATGTCCTAAGGAGTCGAGGAGAGAACGGAATTGGGCATTGGATATGGATCGGTTAGGAGGGCAATACGCTGATGCAAGGGTAACCGGAAACTAAAAGGTTTTTATCACGATAGCGGTGAACTGTAGGAAATCATGTGTAGCTAACAGGAGTATGTGATGGGACAGGGATTGGTGTACAATGACAGAAGTACCGGCATGTGCTTTTCCGTCAGGGTGGTCAGTACGATATGTCAGGTATTGTGGTATTTTGAAGTGCTGTTTAGTGGTTAGTCGAGTTTCAGTAATTAGTGCCACGTCAATATTTTTGTCGAGTAATAATGTAGTTAGTTCGTTTGTATGATTCCTAACACCATTCGCATTCCAAAGGAGAATGGATAAAGGTTTATTGGAAGTCATTTAAGGATTTTTAGCGGGAGGGATAAAATGTGATACAAGATTGGTGAGAAGAGATATCAAAGGAGTAACAAGGGATCTGAATTCGGAGAGGAAAGATGTAAATAAACTGGTAAGATCTGTGGTATTTGAGGGAGGAGGAATGTGGGGAATTTGGTGTTGATAAAACTGTTGATTAGGTGAAGTTTGATTAAGATGTTGAGGGTGGGGTTGAGAATTTTGAGGCATGTGTTGTTGTTGCGGCAGGGTCTCACAATAAGTAACATCATTCTTACCTCCTAATAAGTGTGCAAAAGACACCGTTGGGTCAATTATTTTTGAAGGTCCTCTTCTTGATGCGTTAGGTTCTCTTCTTGATGCCTCTGCTTCTTCTTGGGTCCGGGATTTTTGATATCTTGATTTGATATTCTTGTAGATCTGACAGCCTTTGTAGTTCGCTGGATGTCCTTCAAGGCACAAAGCACAAACTGCAGGATCCCGTTTCGGTTTTGTGCACTCCCCGGATTTGTGCTGCTCTCCACACTTCACACAGCGCGGAAGATGATGGCAGTAAGTCCTGGTATGGCCATATGCCTGGCAATTGTGACACTGTACGATTTCCCTCTTAGGATATGGCTTCTCTACTATAACACTTGTGTAGTATATTCTTCTAATTTCATATATTTTTTCGATCCCTTGATTTGGCTCCAAATCTACGAAAAATAAGGGTAGAGGAACTTTTACTCCTGGCTGTTCTTTACTCTCCTTCTGTACATTTGTAATCTGGCGCACTATGAAACCTAAATTTTTCAATTCTTCTTCTATTGCTTCGGTTGGTGTTGAGGGGTGTAGATTTCTTATGACTACCCTCAAAGCTCGATCTTGCCGTAATTGGTACGTATGAAAATCCGCGTTGGTTTCCATTAGATACTTCACAATTTTTCTGTAGGTTTCAGCTGTATCTGGTGATATCTTCGTGTCCTTTGTTCTGCTTAGACATGAATAGCTTCCAGAGCCTGTTATTTTGTTCAGTTGTGAGCATAGTAACTGAAAATTTTTTATGTTTTTAACGAATATGGGTGGAGGTCGGGGATCTCTTGGTATTGAAGCGGATTCCATCACTTCTTTATCATTCTGAAGCACCTGATAGGGGTTAGGGGTGAAAAACGGAGATTGTTCGGTTATCTCTTGTGAAGATGTACCTGGTTGTTGCTGAAGTTCTTCAATTGTTGGTTTTGATGATGTTCCTGGCTGGGTTTCATTTTCTCTGGAGCTAATAGGCGTTACTGCAGGTGTTTGACGACATTGACGAGGCTTTTGTTTGACTGGCGAAGAACAAGGTGTTGAGCCTAACGGCCGAATTCTCTTGATAGACGCTCTACTAGACATGGCCTGATGGTGATATCGCATATAAGGGGGAAAAAAAAAATAAAAAAAAAATAAAAAAATAAATAAATAAAAATAACCCTATAATTTATAACAAACAATAAATATCAATTGTTGTTATGTACTCTTGGCCTGTTTTGAATAGATAATCTCAAAGATTTCACTGGAAAATAAGCAAATTCTGAGAGACGATGTAGAAACACGACCTTTCGCCGAAACTATTTTAAATCAATAACTCAACAAATGTATTTCTAAACTTTTAGACACAAATGAAGCAGTACAGTAAG